ATATTGTAAGTTTGATATATATATTATATACATAAGTAGATTATGTTATATATTTTGTAATACAAATGGGCTTATATTAATAATTTGGACTTTTATATATATACATAAATTATTAATTGTATATTGGGCTTACAAATGGGTTTTATAAATATTGTGTTATGTAATTTGTAATACGAATGAGCTTATATTAATAAAAAATGAATGTTGTTTAATTTATTTAAATTGATCATTGAATGTTGTTTAATTTATTTAAAGTATATATATAATTTGATCATTGAATGTTGTTTCTAAATATAAGCTATAAGTATATTCTATATATAATTTGATCATTGAATGTTGTTTCTAAATATAAACTATAAGTATATTATATATATAATTTGATCATTGAATATTGTTTAATTTATTTAAATTATAGTTTTGTAATTTCATATTTAATCAATTTAGTCCTTAAAATTATATTATAAAATTCAAAATCTTATAAACTTTTGTTCCTTAACTTCTGAAATAATGCAATTCAATCCATTTTATATTAATTTCAGCTTCACAAGTTACAATTATTTTTTATTTGATCCCTATATATTGTTTAATTTATTTAAATCTTAACTTGTAATTTCATATTTGTTCAATTTAGTCTTTAAAGTTATATTTCTATATGAAATTGGCCCAAACTTATTTATATTTTTATAATTTACTTTAAACCCAACAAATCAAATAATAAATTTCATTTCAAACTCTGTAAATTATATCATAATCTCCAAACCCATTAAAATTTTCACAATCTTTTTAAATGGATTCAATTTTATCTATTTTTATATTAATTTCAACTTATCATTTTATAATTATTTTGATTTGACATGTAATACCCAAATATTAGGCCATTGACTAAATTTAAAAGAATTAAAAATTGAAGATTTATTTGAATAATTGGTAAAAGATGAGAAAACGATTTGGGATAGTGTTTTGAACTAAATTGTAGCAATATATGAATTAAGAGGGCATTTTGGTCCTTTAAGGGGAAAATGAATTTTTAAATTCATTTTCTAGAAAGTATTAAAGAAAGGGGAAAAGGGAAATTAGGGAGAAAAATGACATCTCTCTCTTTTCTTCTTCTTCCCGAGGAAATATCTCTCCCTCATAACAAAGGTAAAATTTTAATTAGTTAGTGTTTCCTTTCGATTATGGTTGGTTCTTGCAAAAGTGTTATGTAAGATTAAGGGAAGGTTATATTAGATTAAAACTAAGTTATGGATGAGATATTAGGGATTGAAGAAAATGGGTTTGTAAGTGATATGTTAAAATAGGAGTGTTTATGGATGTTTACTGGTAGATTTGACTTGTCAAAGGGGTATATGAGAGATTAGAAGCATTGGATAGGATTAAAAACTCATTAGGAAAAGTGGTGTGATTCTTAGAATTGAATGTTCTTTGATGATGTTAGATGTTTTAAGAAACAAAATAAAGGAAAATTAGTTTGGTTAATTAAAGAAGAGTTTGATAGTATTGTATGGTGTAAGTATAACAAAATTTGACCCCATTTATGTAAAAATCGGGTTGATAACTGGAAAATATGGACAAGGGTATCGGTACTGATAGAACAATAACGATTCTATAGGCTAAAATGGGATGAAATAGCTTAGTAGTAATCAGTATCAATACCGACTAGGTAGTATCGATACCATGGTAAGGGTATCGATACCAGGAAAACATCGAATCTAAAACTGGCATCGATACCAGAAGGTGTATTTGTACCATAATATGGTAGTATCGATACCATGGTAAGGGTATCAATACCAGGAAACATCAAAACTAAAATTGGTATCGATACCAAAAGGGGTTATCGGTACCATAATATAGAAGTATTGATACCAAGGTAGTGGTATCGATACTATTGAGCTGGAAACCTCCTATTAGGTTAAACTTGTTATAGAAATTGAGATACTGATATTTTGAATATTCTTAAAGTACAAGGTTAAGGAGTATACTAACATTTAGGTATGGTACATGTTTTAATGGATGCTTGAGTAGATTGGAATCAAGCTCCGGAGATGAACAAAACTAAGGGTAAAGGCAAAATAGTGGAGTAATTAGCCTTACGTTTTGGATACATAGCAAGGAATGTCAGGTTAGTGCATTTAATTATGTACTTACATGCTACAATAGTAATAGTGTAGAAATTATTAATGTATGTATGGTTATTACCAAATGACACTAAGTGTTAAGAAATTCATACTTAGTGTATGAATTTCCGTATTGGGCACTTTGTGTGTTAAAATTTTAACAAATTCATACTAAGTGTATGAAATTCTAGACGCGCATATGAAGATTGTTCATCTATGTATTTACTTATTTATTTATACATGCATTGCATTTTATCTTTATTTTTAATTTTCTGACTGCCGGAGATCTTCCACGGAAGTTGCTCTTAACCTTGTGTTTGGGGCCAGGCTACTACCCTACATCCCTCTTACCCCATTATATATGGGAATAGGGTTTTATTGTTGTTGTATACTAAGTGTATGAATTTCCATATATGCACTATGTGTGCGAAATAAGAAATTTATCAATTGTATGAATTTCGTATGGGAAATATATGTTAAATTGTTAAAAGTTTATAATAAGAAAGTAAATTGTCGTAATTGTAGTGGATGAGTAATCCATGTAAATTATAAAAAAATTGTGGCATTAATAAACTGGTCTTATAGGTATAAATCATAGAATGTATAATGATTGAAAAAGGTTAATTGATATTGAATGATTATTATAGTAGAGACTACTCTAAAACAAAAGATTAATAGGCCTAATTGTGCATTTTACAGAAAAGGTGTCATTTATGCCAGTTAGATGAAATGCTAAGTGCCTTTGAGGCCTAACTGTGCATTTGATAGAAAGGTATCATTTATGCCAGTTAGATGAAAGGCTAAGTGCCTTTGAGGCCTAACTGTGCATTTGACAGAAAGGTGTCATTTATGCCAGTTAGATGAAAGGCTAAGGGCCTTTGAGACCTGACTGTGCAATTGGCATAAAGGTGTCAATTATGTTAGTTAGATGAACTGTTAAATACCGTGGAGTAAAGAAATAATAGCTTAACTGTGCATTTGACAGAAATGTGTCATTTATGCCAGTTAGATGTAAGGCTAAGTGCCTTTGAGGCCTAACTATGCAATTGGCAGAAAGATGTCAATTATGCCAGTTAGGTGAACGGTTAAACACTGTTGAGTAATAGAATAATAGATTAGCTATTTATTTGATAGAAAAGTGTCAAATATTCAAGTTAAATGAAAAGCTAAATACTTTGAGGTAGAAGAATAAAGGAATTATAATGTAAGGTGATATAAATGGTATATAAGTGATATGAAAGGAATATATATATTTATATATTTATATATACAATGTACAACAATGGATAACTAGTATGAAGAGATTTTATAAAGGAAAACGTAAACAGAGCATAATGGGCATGATTGGATACCCAAATGAAAATACAAAAAGGTGTATTAACAATATTTAAGGTGTCGTCATAATAATTCTTAAAGATACATACTAAGAATAATTTCCGTGATGATATGCAAGAATTATGGTTTAACTGAGGAGGGCATAACTGGTCCTTATGAATAATGAAATTAAATTATTATTCAGTATTTATAAGATATTGTCGTATAATTGTAATGTCCTTGCAGTTTTATGTCTCACTAAGTAAATACTTAACGTGTATTTATTTCACGCGTAGGTAAAGGCAAAGATTAGTGCGTAAGGAGTGTAGCAGTAGCAACAACTTTCATCAATTAAAGGTTGACTCATTAGTAATATTATGACACTCTTATTCAATTTAAGAACTTAGTTGGCATGTAATTAACTATGAAAAATATTTTGGATTGTAATTAAGTGATAGTTTTAGTATGTTGCTTTCATAAATATCATATTTTGTAGATGATCAAATTAAAACAAATTTTTACGGGTTTTTAAATGACAAACATTTTTATAAAGTAATGTGACCTTTGTATCTCGTGTATGGAAAGGTATACGAGATATTGATGTTACGTTTATTGGTATCAGAGCTACAGGTTTAGTCGATTCTCGGTCGAAACTGAGTTTAATTGAAATGAGAAAAAGAGGATTACGTGCCATTAAGATTGTCAAGGGTACTGATATGGTGTCATTAATGTGTAATTGATGACACTCCTTACTAACTGAAATGTTATTACTATGTATGTTCTAATAGATGTCAGAACCCTCTAACTCTCGTAGAGCGGAGGAACAAGAGATGAGAGAATTAACTGGTAGCGAAAGTTATGAAGCTAATAGTGAGCAACCAGTTCCATCTGAAAATGCTAGTGCATCTGCACATCAAGGGATGCCGGTACTAGAGTATGGAGCTTTTATGCAAGCTCTCAATGCTATATTGACTCATTTTCAACCCCCTCCGCCTCCTTCTGCTCCTCTAACACCGATAATGTTGATCCTAAAAGAGCTGAAGAGCTTGGGAGCTCCAGAGTTTCGGGAAAAAGGGTGAAGGTCCTTTGGAGGCTGACTTATGGTTAAATGATGTTATAATAATGCTAAAAAATCTTCACTGTTTGGATCCAAAAAAGTTGGATGGAGTTGTATCTTTATTTAGAGGATCAACTCGAGTTTGGTGGTCAAATACTACGGTGTATGCACCACTGAAGCAAGTGACCTGGCAATTCTTCCTGGAAGAATTTAAGAACAAGTATGTGGGTGAACAGTTCAAACGGGAAATGTTGTTAATGTTCCTAAATTTGAAACAAGGTGATCGAGCAGTACATGAGTATGAGGTTGAGTATAATAAGTTGAGCCATTTTGCTACGGAGGTAGATCCAAATGATAAGGCCCGACGTAATTGGTTCATTGAGGGGTTGAGGCCAAAATTAAAAGAAATGATGTTGGCTTTGAGTTTGCCTAACTTGCAAGAAGTTATTAACCGAGCCAAAACTATTGAGAGAGCTCAAGATGAGACATTAGCAGTGGAACATAGTTTACAGATGGGGAAAAGGATTGGAACGCCTTCAACTCCCTATTATGTTAAGAGAGGCAATAGGTCAAGTTTGAGAGATTTCCACCAAGAGGGTTCTGCTACAATTTCACAGAAAACAAAACAGTTTCAGTCGGTTGCTGCTAGCTCAGGTAGAGCAGTTGGAGAAAGAATAGTATTAGACATGTGGAAAAGTGCATCGGGAAGTATGTAGACTTATTAGTGGAGCTTGCTTCCAATGTGGTGAGACCGGTCACTTTGCCCAAAATTGTCCAAAGAAATCTGGGGATAATTTAATGCAATTTGAAAGATCTGTTGCAACCTCTAATAGAAACAGACGAAGTGGAAGATCAAGGGGACGAGATGAATCATTACAGCGACAAGAAACTCGAGGAGTTGCCAGAATCTATAATATTACGACTAATGAGGATCGGGATGATCGAAAAAATTTAACAGATACTTTTCATCTTTGGATGAACCGGTATTAGTATTAGTTGCCCTTGATCTATCCACTCGTACATTAGTACAAGGTTGGCTAGAGCTAGAGGAATTCCTGTATAACCAATATTGAGTAAAATGATAGTCGTAAACCTTAATGAGTCATGGTACAAGTGTGAGTGGAAAGGTAATAGACAATTAATAAAGATTCCAGGGGCTAGGTTATGGGTGAATCTTATGGAATTGTAAATTGATGAGTTAAGATCATTTCTTAAAGTGACATTGATAATGATTGTAAAGAGAGTGATGTCTGATTAAGGTGATAGATATTCAAATAAGAAAAGTAAAATTGTTTGATAATGTTATCAAATTGGGAAATTAGAGATGTCTTTTTAGATCAATATCTTGGGTTACCTCCTGATCGAGAGGTGAAATTAAAGGTAGTTGGATAGTAAAGTATTGAACATGTTTTTATAATTTAATATCAAATGAGTCAAGAGGAATTATCTACGTATGGTTTGGAGTCGGCAGTAGTAGAGTTGCCTCAAAAGATTTGACATCATTATAGGTATAGTGAGTGATACTATAGTGGTGCTAATCACACGAGCCTTGAATACTTATGGAAAATGAAGAGAGTGAACATGAAACAGAAAAGATGTAAAGAACAACTAAAGATGTTCATAGAAATGTGGTAAATGCATAAAGTCTTTAAATTCGATGACGAATTTTCTTAAGGGGGAGAATTAAAATACCCTAAATATTAGGTTAGGGACTAAATTAAAAAGAATTAAAATTTGAAGATTTATTTGAATAATTGGTAAAAGATGAGAAAACGACTTGGAATAGTGTTTTGAACTAAATTGTAGCAATAGATGAATTAAGAGGGCATTTTAGTCCTTTAAGGGAAAATGAATTTTTAAATTCATTTTCTAGAAAGTATTAAAGAAAGGGGAAAAGGGAATTTAGGGAGAAAAAGGTTATCTCTCTCTTTTCTTCTTCTTTCCATTAAAATATCTCTCCCTCATAGCAAATGTAAAATTTTAATTGGTTAGTGTTATGGTTGGTTCTTGCAAACTTAAGTGTTATGTAAGATTAAGGAAATGTTATATTAGATTAAAACTAAGTTATATATGAGATATTAGGGATTGAAGAAAATGGGTTTGTAAGTGATATGTTGAAATAGGAGTGTTTATTGATGTTTACTGGTAGATTTGACTTGTCAAAGGGGTATCTGAGAGATTAGAAGCATTGGATAGGATTAAAAACACATTAGGAAAAGTGGTGTGATTATTAGAATTGAATGTTCTTGGATGATGTTAGATGTTTTAAGAAACAAAATAAAGGAAAATTAGTTTGATTAATTAAAGAAGAGTTTGATAGTATTGTATTGTGTAAGTATAACAAAATTTGACCCCATTTATGTAAAAATCGGGTTGATAACTGGAAAATATGGGCAAGGGTATCGGTACTGTTCTATCAGTACCGATACTATAGGCTAAAATGGGATGAAATAGCTTAGTAGTAATCATATCGATATCGACTAGGTAGTATCGATACCATGGTAAGGGTATCGATACCAGGAAAACATCGAATCTAAAATTGGTATCGATACTAGAAGGGGTATCTGTACTATAGTATGGTAGTATCGATACCAGGCAACATCGAAACTAAAACTAGTATCGATACCATAGTATAGAAGTATCGGTACCAAGGTAGTGGAATCGATACTATTGAGTTTGAAACAACCTATTAGGTTGAAATTGTTATAGAAATTGAGATAATGATATTTGTAATATTCTTAAAGTACAAGGTTAAGGAGTACAATAACATTTGGGTATAGTATATGTTTTAACGGATGCTTGAGTAGATTGGAACCAAGCTCCGGAGACGAACAAAACTAAGGGTAAAAGAAAAATGCCTGATAAATTAGGCTCACGTTTTGGATACATGGCAAGGAAAGTCAGGTGAGTGCATTTAATTATGTATGTACATGTTACAATAGTAATAGTGTAAAAATTATTAATCTATGTATGGTTATTACCAAATGGCACTAAGTGTGCAAAATGTTAAGAAATATATACTAAGTGTATGAATTTCTGTATTGGGCACTTTATGCGCTAAAATGTTAAGAAATTCATACTCTGTGTATGAATTTCCGTATTGGTCTTACGGGTATAAATCATAGAATGTATAATGATTGAAAAGATTAATTGATATTGAATGATTATTATAGTAGAGACTGCTCTAAAACAAAAGATTAATAGGCCTAACTGTGCATTTGACAGAAAGGTATCATTTATACTAGTTAGATGAAAGGCTAAGTGCCTTTGAGGCCTAAATATGCATTTGACAGAAATGTGTCATTTATGCAAGTTAGATGAAAGTCTAAGCGTCTTTGAGGCCTAACTGTGCATTTGACAGAAAGGTGACATTTATGCTAGTTAGATAATAGGCTAAGTGCCTTTGAGGCCTAACTGTGAATTTGACAGAAAGGTGTCATTTATGCCAGCTAGATGAAAGGTTAAGTGCCTTTGAGACCTAACTGTTCATTTGACAGAACAATGTCAATTATTCTAGTTAGATGAAAGGATAAGTGCCTTTGAGGCCTAACTGTGCAATTGGCATAAAGGTGTCAATTATGCCAGTTAGATGAACGATTAAATATCATTGAGTAAAAGAATAATAGCCTAAATGTGCATTTGATAGAAATGTGCCATTATGCCAGTTAGATGAAAGGCTAAGTGCCTTTGAGGCCTATCTGTGCATTTGACAGAAAGGTGTCATTTATGCCAGTTAGATGAAAGGCTAAGTATCTTTGAGGCCTAACTGTGCAATTGACAGAAAGGTGTCAATTATGCCAGTTAGATGAACGGTTAAATATCGTTGAGTAAAAGAATAATAGCCTAATTGTGCATTTGACATAAAGGTGTCATTTATGCCAGTTTGATGAAAAGCTAATTGCCTTTGAGGCCTAAATGTGCAATTGGCATAAAGGTGTCAATGATGCTAGTTAGATGAACGATTAAATACCGTTGAGTAAAAGAATAATAGCCTAACTGTGCAATTGGTAGAAAGGTGTCAATTATGCCAATTAGATGAACGGTTAAATATCGTTGAGTAAAAGAATAATAGCCTAACTGTGCAATTGGAAGAAAGGTGTCAATTATGCCAGCTAGGTGAACGGTTAAACACTATTGAGTAAAAGAATAATGGATTAGCTGTGTAATTGACTATAAAGTGTCAAATATGCAAGTTAAATGGAAAGCTAAATACTTTGAGGTAGAAGAATAAAGGAATTATAATGTAAGGTGATATAAATGGTATATAAGTGATATGGAAGAAATATATATATATATATATATATATATAATGTACAACAATGCATAACAAGTATGATTAGATGCTATAAAGGAAAACGTAAACAGAGCATAATGGGCATGAAAGGATACCCAAATGAAAATACAAAAAATGTGTATTAACAGTATTTATGGTGCCATCATAATAATTATAAAAGATACATGATCAATTAGCACCTTGGTGCAATACATGTATAGTACTTCCACATTTAATGTACGCAGGCCAAATAAAGAATAAAGGGGGAAATTATACAAAAGGATAAGTATGATGAACATACTAAGAATAATTTCCATGATGGTATGCAAGAATTATGGTTTAACTGAGGAGGGCTTAACTGGTCCTTATGGATAATGAAATTAAATTACGATTCAGTATTTATAAGATATTGTCGTATAATTGTAATGTCCTTGCAGTTTTATGTCTCACTAAGTAAATACTTAACGTGTGTTTATTTCACTCGTAGGTAAAGGCAAAGATTAGTACGTAAGGAGTGTAGCAGTAGCATCAGCTTTCATCAATTAAAGGTTGACTCATCAGTAATATTATGACAATCTTATTCAATTTAAGAACTTAGTTGGCATGTAATTAAAATATGGTAAATAATTTGGAATGTAATTAAGTGATAGTTTTTGTATCTTGCTTTCAGAAATATCATATTTTGTAGTTGATCAAATTAAAACAAATTTTTATGTGTTTTCAATTGACAAACATTTTTATAAAGTAATGTGACCTCTGTATCTTGTGTACGGAAAGGTATACGAGATATGGGTGTTACATGATCCCTCATCTTTGCATGTTGTTTAATTTATTTAAATTATTTTTTGTAATTTCATGTTTATTTAATTTAGTCCTTAAAATTATATTTTTATTAAAATTGACCCTTAATTATTTATATTTTTGCAATTACTCCAAATCATATACAATTATAAATTACAATTTGTCGTTCATGAAAGACAAAAAATAATTAACCTAAAAATAACCTGACTTGAACTTAATTCATACCTGATAAGATCCGTCCTGAATTTTTTCTTTTAATGATATGACCCGATCTGACCGAGATCCGACTGAAATCCATCCGACTTGAATTAACCTGATATTTAACTACTTTGGACCTAAACCATTTTGACCTGAACTGATATCGATCCAAACTAAAATTTACTTGATTTAAACCTGAACTAAATCTGATGTCAATTCAACCTGAAAATGACCCAAACTGATTTGACCCAGACCCGACCTGATCTGAGTTGAATCATCTAATTGACCTGACACGACCTGTATCCGATTTGACCTGACCTGACAGGATCCAACTGAAACCTGAACGATTACCTGATTTCACATCCCCACCTAGTTGTTGTCTACTATGTGTCTAACTAGGTTGAAGTTGTAATATAACCTTCAAGTGATGCTAAGTCAGTTTTGAGATTTATTTATAAGAATATATTCACTCGCTTTGACACACCAAGAGCATTCATTAGTGATAAAGGTTCCCAATTCAAATACAAGCAAGTTATCAATGCTTTGCAAAAATATGGAGTGAAGTATCGTATTGCTACAATTTATCATCCTCAATCCAACGGTCAAGTAGAAGTCTCCAATCAGGAAATTAAGAAAATCTTGGAGAAGGTTATGAACCTTTTTAAGAAAGAATGGTCTTTGCGCCAAGATGAAGCATTGTGGGCATATAGGACAGCCTACAAAACCCCATTAAGAATGTCTTTGTTTCGCCTTGTTTATGGAAAAGCTTGCCATTTGCCCATGGAGCTGGAGCATAAAACAATGTGGGCCCCTAAAAGGTTAAATTTTGACTTTAATGTTGTTGGCGAGAAGAGAATGATGGACTTGAATAAACTTGAAGTGCTTCGCAATGATGCCTATGAAAGTTCCAGAATATACAAAGAAAAGAGCAAGAGATGGCATAACAAATACATTTTGCCACGACAATTCCATGTTGGGCAACTTGTGTTGCTATTTAATTCTCGATTGAAGTTATTTTCGAGGAAACTAAGGTTTCATTGGTCAGGGCCATTCGAAATTGTTGAAGTTTATCCTCATGGAGCCTTGTTAATCAAGAACTTGGTGGATGGGAGCACGTTTAAAGTCAATGGACAACATTTGAAGCATTATTGCAAAGAACAACCTCAACATATTGCTTCCATTTCACTAAGCGAATTCCCATCTCTTTAATTTTATTTCCCTACTTTCAATAAGTCAATTTTGACATTAACTTAGTTTTTATTTTTCTTCTTTTATCTTTTTCTATGTAAGGAATGCCACAACATTATTTGTTGCTTCACCAGTTTTTCCTCAATGTTGTCTCATCCATTAGCATCCCTAGTACAAGGATGCCCAACTAGGGGAGTATTGTTTTCCCTTTTTCCTATGTTTTATCTTATTTTGCAGTAGCAGCGACGATCAAGTGGAGTTCTACTTTATTTTTGTCCCTTTTATAAGATAGGGAAGTGACAATTTTTTAGTAGAATAGTTTATTTTGGATGTTATTTGTTTTCGAACATAAGTTGTTTAATTAAATGTTTCTTGTTATGTTTTATGTGTGGCCATACTTATGGGAAGATTTTGGAAATAAATTCATCTCTATGTATATGATTTCTATAATTTTAAAAATAAAAGTTATGGATTTTTATATCATACTATCTTTGTGCAGTGTTGTGTTTGTGGAAAGCAAAGTTTAGTATATAGAGATGTATGTTGCCAATAGTCCAATATTGTTAACTATTTGATTAAATTGAATTAATGAAGGTTGATTCTTGTTAATTGAATGTTGTTAATCATTGCTAGACACATGAATGCATTGTTTTAAGCATATCCATAGTAGGAATGACCAAATAGCACATACATCCATTGAATATTTGCTATGTTGCTCACCCGAATGTTGTAGCACTACTCGACACTTATCATTCTGATTTTTATATTATGTAGTTTATTTATATTTCCATCATTCAACCTTACATCATTTGAAATCTTTCACACAACTCTATTATAATCAATTTTGCTTTCTGTGGGTTTGACATCCGAAGCTTTTAGTGTGCGTTTGATTCACAAAATGTAAGATTACCAGTGGGAATAAAAGATTACCGGGGAATAGGATTACTGGGAATGTTCAATTTTGTGTTTGGTTCGTTTAGTAGGAATGTATGATTATCGTGTTTGGTTAAAGGAATAAAAGATTATTGTTTAGTTTTACTAGTGTTAATCTTCAATACTTACATATTTTATCTATTTAGTCTTACTTTTAATTTAATTTAATAAATTTAATCCTCCAATCAGAACATGAGATGTGTCATCGTATACATAATTTTTTTTATATAACTTTTAATTTGTTTAGTTTAATATTTTTTCTCTACTTAGAAGGTGTAATTATTATAATATTTTAAAATTAATAATTAATTTTTTTATAATAAATAATATTAATTATTATATTAAATAACTATCATAAAATAATTTTTAAATAAAAATTTTTAAAAAATAAAATTTATTTAGGTGTACATACATTGAGAAATTATAGAGAATGCAATTACATTTAAATATTAGAAATAAAAACATTCATTTAAATAGAATATTAATTACATAAGGGTTAAAGGTTATGTGATGATAACAGAGCTGGACATTTTTTTCTATTGTGCCCCGATGTTTCTACAATGCCCACATCGTTTTTGTTCTGTTGACTTCTCCCGAATATCCATATCACAATGTATTCTAGTAGATTTTGGATGACCTGAGTCCCTCAATAATGGATCTGGTACAATTGTAAGCCAAGTTTGAATCTCATCTAGGTCTCTTTCGTTTCCTATGGGCGGAAACTCAAATTCATATACCTTGAATACTTGTAAAAGTTGGTATATGGGATCAACATAATTTTTGTAGTCCAAATACGAATGTGAGCCAGCTGCAATGACATTAGAGCATGAATATTTGAGTGCTTGAAAGAAACCACAATCGCACCACCTCTCTTATAGATTAACTCTGAAAGAGTTAGCTTCAATCTCTTGTAGCGGTCGTGGCATTTCGGTAACACGAAACAATTCACGGGTGCGAGAAAAATTTGTAACCAACATCCCATTTGATGTAATCAATTTTTTCTGTAAATCAGCTACTAGTCTTGGGTGGTAAATATGGTCGTTTTGCATCCAAGTAAGAGTTTGTCCACTGAGCTTTGCAAAGAGTTGACCCAAACAAAAATAAGTCGTTTTGACCAACGCCGTGACTGGTAAATGACACACCCCATTTAAGGTTGAATTTATTGCTTCAACCAAGTTGGTTGTCATATGACCATAGCGATATCCCCCGTCATACGCATTTGCCCACATTTCTTTACTGATGTTCATAATGTACTCGCAACCCTACTTATTTTTTCCAAACAGCTCTTGTAGCATAGACTCAAACCTTTGAGGTAAGAGTTCGTAATCTAGGACATTAGGAATATGTAATAGTTAATATGAAGTATAAATAAGTAATACGAAAATGATAGAAAAATCGGGAAAAAGTAATATACTCATCCGCACGACTAACTGACGTTCATCGTTCTTCTTGTACTTTCCGTAATAGTTTACATCAATATGACGGACACAATAACGATGTTGAACATGTGGAGGTCTATACCTTGTACCCAAAAACTCCATTGTTGCTTTTATCCCAGCTCCTCGGTCTGAAATAATGCATACTCGTTCCCTGGTGATAACATGTAAACGTAAATTTTTAAGGAAAAAAGCCCAGGACTCAGTGTCTTCTCCTTGAACGAGGGCAAACGCAATAGGAAAAATATTGTGGCTTCCATCTTGGACCACATCCAATAATAAAACTTGCTTGTATTTCCCATACAAGAAAGTACCATCAATTTGGACAACTGGTTTACAGTACTTGACTGCATTAATACACTGCGGGTAAGTCCAAAAGACATGGTAGAATTGGTAGCGATCGCGAACTACTCGATCATTCACGTAATGATGTTGAGTTTCGAACTCAACAATTATCCCGGGATTGAGTCTTTGCACAACATGAAACCAACTGGGCAACTCGTTGTAAGAGGAATCCCATTCGCCATGATGTTTGCAAATGGCATTTTTTTTGCCAACCAAGCTTTTTTATAGGACACGGTGTACCCATATTGTGATTGTATAGAAGAAATCAACATTGCAACAGCTATATGAGAGCTTTGCTTCATAATGGGCATGATTGCTTGGCAAATAATGTTGGAGTCCAAGTTGGGATGATCCTGGTTTATACTGCTTGCACAACATGTATGAGGACCTTTGTATCTAGTTAGTTCCCATAAGTTGTTCTTCCTCTTTGATACACGGGCCATCCAGTGACATCCTTTGTCACGTTGGACGCAGTAGCAGACATATTTCTCCGTGGTAGATCGATCAACTCGGGAATGAACTGAGTTACGAATAGTGTAACTCTTTATTGCCATCATTGCTTCTCCTTCGATGCGAACTCTATTCCAATATGTAAATCACCGTCATTGACTGATGACTGAAGTCCATAGTTGCCAACATCAGGAAGATCCAAAAATTCAGGCTTGTACATTGCATCATAATCAGCCCCATACATATGTGTATGAAGTTCGGCTGGTGTTGTATTTATCGGAACGTTATCCTCATTATCATCAGAATGTATGTTAAACTGTGGTGAGTCAGGTTCAACAAATAATCATGTTTCAGCACATCTGCACCTGGCTCTCGAAGAGGTTCTTCTGGTGGATATGAGGGTTCCTCCGATAATCTAATGTTTACGTCAAATAAGTTCCCGTTTGTGTGTCCTCCCCTTGATCTTGAGGCCATTGTATCATGTGGGATGTGAATAGACTGCCGTCTCGATGGCATTTCCATATGTAAATCGAAAATATTGGCAGATGAATGTCTGCCCCTTGAAGTATAAGAGATGTTGCCATATGGATTATTGGTGAAGCCACGTGGGTTGAGATCATAAGCAGTTTCTGATGAATGTCTTTCTATTGAACTTGATGGCATGGCATCTGGCATTGGATCCACCATTAATTATGTGAATCATTACAGATCAGTTGCGTCGGGCTATCAACTTGATCAATTTAATATGCAATGCCAAAGTGAGAGGAGTATGAGAGACCACGAGAAGAACGGACCTCAATAAAAGTGGAATACATTTCAATAAGAGATTGTGAACTCCCTATATGAGCATCAACCATCATAGAAACATCATCATCATTGGAAAGCTGAAATGATGTATACGTGAGTGGAAAAAGTTCAGTAGGAAATTTATACTGAAGTGAAGATAGTCTTCTCCGTCCATCTACACGAATCTTTAACGAAATTTTTGTGATTAACTCCTCAAAAGTGATGTTTCTTTTCAAGGTTAAGGGGATATAATGATCTGACTCAAAAACAACCCCCTCTTCAGCTTCCTTAATTTCTCCATCATTTAAAACAACAGCAGAAAGACGACTCATTTTCAGAGAATAGAGGATTGAGATTTTTGTTAAATTTAGAGTTTGAGAATTTGAAAGCTTGTGAACTGAAGTTTGTTTTGAAAGTCCATAATACGTTGCATATAATAGTGTCTATAACCGAGGTACTATTCACGTGAAGGCGCGTTCCTAGGGGGCGCCTTCCATTATTTTATCAGATAATATGTTATCATTGCCCTATTATGTCACTCATGTCCCTCGTGGGCACTATTCATGTCAGTACCCAAAGTGGTGAAAGCGCGTTCCTGGGGACGCAGCTTCTATTATTTTATCAGATAATATGTTATCATTCCCCTATTATGTCACTCATGCCCCTCAGGGGCACTATTCATGTCAGTACCCAAAGTGGTGAAAGTGCGTTCCCGGTGGCGCCTTATATTATTTTATCAGAGAATATGTTATCATTGCCCTATTATGTCACTCATGTCCCTTGGGGAATTATAGATGGAAGGTGAAATCAGTTAAATTATAACCAAAATTTAAGTTCTTTTTGGAAGTTCAGCAAGTTAAGGATAAAATTTTACTTATGGATAAATTTAAATTCATAACTTAAATGAAAACGTTATGTGAAGTTTGAATAAATTGGATAAAATGTTATGGATAAATTGAATAAATGTGAAGTGATAAGTTGGTTGTGACATTGAAATTGTATGGAATGATCATCGACATGTTTTTATGAATAAATGTGAAGTGATAAGTTGGTTGTTTAAATAAACTGGAT